CGGCTCGCGGCGGCGCCGGCCGGCGCCGGCGCCGCGCGCCGCGTCGCGGGCGTCCGCGGCGCCGCGCCCGGCGGCGGGGCCCTCGCCGTCGACGCGCCCCAGGTGATCCTCGCCGTCGACGCGGACGGCGCCCTCGCGCTCCTCGACGGCGCGCGCGACGCGCGGCCGCCGGGCGCGCTCCGCGACGCGCCGCGCGCCGCGCCGGCCGCCGCGCTCCTCGTCGCCCTCGCGCCGGGGGCGGACCGCGCGGGCCGGGGCCTCCCGGCCGTGCCCGTCTTCTGGCGGCCGCGCCTCCGGGACCGCGCCGCCGCCGACGAGCCCGACGCGGGCGCGTGCCTCGAGTTCCGCTTCGCCGACGACGGCGACCGCGCGACGGCCGCGATCACCGGCGCCGCACTCGACGCGCCGGCCCGACCTTTCCGCGCGCGCCCGCGGCGGCGCGGACGCGCGACCCCCGACCGGGGGACCGCGCGCGATCCCCCGAGGCCGAGCCGGGCCCGCCTCGGACCGCGGCCGCGCCCGCGCGCGTCGGCGCTCGGTCGGCGGACCCCCCCGCGTCACGGGTCGACGTCGCCGCAGGTGATCCGCGGGCCCGCGGGCCCGGGCTTCCGCGCGTCCGCGCTCGCGACGCTCGCGGACCTCTTCCCGGCCGTGGGCGCCGTCGCCTTCGCCGCCGAGGCGCCGCGCAAGGCGCCGGGCCTGAGCCACTCCTGCGCGCGCTACGCCGTCGGCGCGGGCGCCCTCGCGCCCGCGGCCCGGGGCCTCGGCGGCGCGTTCCTCGCGCTCGACGACTTCGCGCTCTCGAACGCCGCCGGCGGCGTCGCCGCGGGCTACCTCGCGGCGCACGCGGCGCTGGGCTACACGCGCGGCGACCTCGCCGTCTTCCGCCGGAACCTCGTCGCCGAGCTCGCGCCGCTGCCCCGGCCCTCCCCCTAGGCGCGCGCGCGCGCCTTGCGCGCGCCGCGCGGCCTCAATGCGGACGTCAAGGCAGACTTCGCCCGGCCACCCGCCTCTCCACGTCGCGCGCCCCCGTCCGTGGAAGAAAGCAGGACCTGGTGTGGCAGCGGGGCCTCGAACCGACGTACGCGGCGACGCCCGCGCGCCCCGACATCGCCGCTCGCGTGTCGGCGTCCTGCCGCGCGCGCGCCGTCGCCTCCGCCGCCATGTGCAAGGGCGCCCTCGTCGGCGAGCTCGTCGACGGCGCGGAGATGCCCGCGGGCCTCGAGTGCAAGTCCCTGCCGTCGTTCACGCGCGCCGAGATCGCCGAGCACCGCCACGACCTCGTCATCGTCGAGGACCGCGTCTACGACGCGGCGAAGTTCATGTGGGCGCACCCCGGCGGCGCCGTCTTCGTGGCCATGTTCGGGGGACGCGACGGCACGCTCACGTTCCAGAGCTACCACATGCGCGAGTTCCCCCACGGGAAGATGGCGCCTTACCTCGTCGGCGTCCTCGACGCGCGCGAGGCGCCCGTGGCGCCCGACGCGCGGCACCTCGCGCTGTCGCGCGCGCTCGCGCCGGTCCTCGCGCGGCGCGGCGGGTCCTTCGCGCCGCCGGCCCAGGTCCGCAAGGCCGCGGGCCTCCTCGCCGCGGCCGTCGCTCTGGAGGCGTGCATGCTCGCGACGGCGCGGACCTGGGCCGGGAGCGCGCTGCTGGGCCTGCTCTTCGCGCTCATCGGGCTCAACGTGCAGCACGACGCGAACCACGGCGCCATGTTCAGGGACGGGCGGAAGAACGCGCTCTGGGGCCTCGCGCAGTCGTGGATCGGCGGGTCCCAGCTCATGTGGCTCCAGGAGCACGTCGTGCTCCACCACATGCACACGGGCGACGTCGAGTACGACCCGGACGCGCAGCTCGCGCCCGTCATGCGGGGCCACGCGGGCGCGCCCTGGCTGCCCTGGATGCGCTTCCAGCAGTTCTACTTCCTTTTAGTCGAGCTCGGCTACGGCGTCGTCCCCATGTTCATGTCCTTCTTCGAGGTGCTCTGCTGGCGCCACAAGTTCGAGCGCAAGTTCGCGCTGTCGCGGCTCGCGTGGCGCTGGGGGCTCCAGTCCGTCGCGCTCCACCTCCTCTTCTACGCGCGCATGGTCGCGGCGCCCGTCGCCGCGGGCCTCCGGGCCGCCGCGGCGGACCCGGGCGCGGCGGCCGGCGCCGCCGTCGCCGCGGAGCTCGCCAAGGTCGCGGTCACCGTCGGCGTCGCCGGCGGCTACCTCGCCTTCTTCTTCTTCCTCAGCCACAACTTCGACGGTGTCCACTTCGTCGCCGGCGCCGGCGAATCCGGCGACCAGCGCTACCCGGAGCGGAGCGGCTTCCTCCACCAGCAGGCGTCGAGCTCGAGCAACGTCGCGGGCGAGAAGCTCTGCGCGCTCAACGGCGGCCTCAACTACCAGATCGAGCACCACCTCTTCCCCCGCGTCGCCCACAGCCACTACCCGCACATCGCGCCCGTCGTCCGCGCCTTCTGCGAGCGGCACGGCGCGCCCTACGTCCACTTCGACTCCGTCGGCGCCAACCTCGCGTCCGTCTTCGCGTACCTCGCCAAGTTCTCGTCGCCGGACTACGACGCGCCCGTGCCCAAGCCCGAGGGGCCCAAGGCGGACTGAGCGACCCCGGCGCGGGGGGGGCGCCCGGAGGGAGCCCGCGTCGCCGCCGAGGCCGCGCCGCCGCCGCGGGCGCCGGCGCGAGCGCCGGCGCGGGGCAGTTTACGCGGCGCACGTACTCGAGAGGAGGTGCCACCGGACGGGCGCGGTACCGCGCGGACCGCCGGCGAGCACCACATCACGTACTCTCATAAATCAACAACCCAGGAAGTCGCAATCCCGCCGTGCGCGGCGTCGAGCGTGTGATCAGCACAATTCATCGATGTTAGCGCCCTGGCGTGCGTCGCCGCCTGCATGCTCGTCAGCATCTGCGCCGAAGCACGTTGAGGGGCAGCGGGAGGTGGACCAAGCTTGCTCGTGCCGCCGCAAGCCGTCGACGCGCGGACACTACGCTCGGCATCCACCATCGTGGGGCTTGCTGTGCTGAATGAGCGGCCAGTTCAGTCTTGCCGCGGCTGATACGCCATGCGGCAAGACTCCGCGACGCGGAACTCCCGCGGCTCATCACCATGGTCGTCCACAGGGTCCTGGCCATGTCCGCCTGCCAGGTCTCCGCGTCGCACGCCGAGCACCGGCTCAGGCCGTCCGGGTACGCGCTCTTGATCGTCGTCATCTCCACGGACGCGTAGCCGAAGTGCGTCGGTCCCCAGATCGTCGTGTTCGTCTCGTAGGCGTCGTTCGGAAACGTGACGTTCGAGTGGAGGCACGTCAGCGCGTCCGGGTCCGATTCCGGGTCCCAGCGCCAGCCGTCCCACGTCACCTCCGGCGCGTCCTCGGCCCCGTAGTCGACGGCCGGCGATGGAATCGCGCAGGCCTCCATTTCATCGCTCGCCTCATTGGAGGACGCGGGGGGTTCGCGCCCGGACGCGCCCCGGACGCGCCCGGACGCCCGGCGGACACGCCGGACGCCCGGACGCGCCCCGGACGCGCCCAGGACGCGCCCAGCAGCAGTCCGAGGCGCCCAGAGTACTCGCTGATGCGATTTGGAGACTAGCTATAGATTGACATTACTGTAGTGGAGCCAGCAGCCACCTCCCGCGGCGGGTAATGGAGCACGCGTGGCGGTCGGTGGGGGACGGGGCGGCGGTAGCCTCGACCGCGCGTCGCGCGTAGGGGGCGTGGTCGCTGCGCTGCGAGCGGTGAATTTGCGGTCGCGGCCGGCCGGCACAAGGTCCTCGCGGAGTTCCTGAGACGGGGTTCGCGCGCGCGAACCTTTTCGCCGGGTCGTGGGTCGTGGCGTCTGGTCTGAGGGTTGTTCTCTCGCCGGGCCTCGCGTCAGCCCCGGCACGCCCCGGCAGCACGCCGACGGACCTGGAGCTACGGGGCAGCCCTTGGAACGAGCAGATGATGCGGTGCGAGTCGGCGTGCGAGCGCGCGCCGCTATGGGGCGCGCCGCCGATTCTGCGGGCCGAGTTGTAGCTACGCGTTCCTGAAATGCGTAGCCTGTTCAACCAGTCCGCTGCGGGGCACGGCGACGGCCGCGGCAGCGTGTCGCAGCACAGCCAGTCGAAGCAACCGCCACTCTGCCGAGGATCGACTGTCCGAGCTGCACGTTATAATTGTGCAAGTCTTGGCGCGGCTGCC